GATTGCTTTTGCGGGCTGAGGAGGGGGGGGACTTAATTGGGGGAGGGGGAGGGAAATGGGAGGCGGTGGCGGGGAAGAGACAGAAATCTTTAATAAATAAATAAATTAAAAAATGGTGAGCAATGTTATTGAACTCATCGACAATTTTCATGTTTCTTTGTAGACATGCATATGTAATCCATGGCTTTTGTAATTAGCAGGTTGCCATTGTGAGGCTATAAGAGTTATCTTTATAGTCCATGTAAACTATTTTCTTTTGCTCAGTCCAATCCAGTTACTTTAATCATTGCTCTGACAAAATACATGGCAATAACAACTAAAAGAAAAGGTAAGCATCGTATGGCTCACAGACAAAGGTAAAGAACATCATGATGGGAAATTGAAGTGACATAATTGATGAGCAGCTGATCCTAGTGTGTCCAGAGTCAGGTATGAGAGTTGTCGGCCTCATATGTCCTCACATGTCCTTCTCATTGTGTCTAAATGCCAGCCCATGGAAAAGTGCAACCTACAGCCCGTGTGTATCTTTCCACTTGTATTAACTCAGTCTAAAAATTCATGAACAACATGACTAGGAGGTTGTCTCCCATGTGAGTTGTAATTAGAGACATGCTCAAGTTATGGTATAAACACTCATACATGGACAGCTTTACTCACATGAGAGAAATCTCCACTTGGTGAGACTACTCTACTTTTCTATGACTGACTTTTGCACAGAAAAACAGAAGTCATTGTACAGAAGTCATCACCACATGTGGGGCTGTGAATTTTTGTTCCCGTGTTTTCTTGCAAACACTTTTATTTGTAAATCTTGTAATTGTGCATATGACATACTTGGAGTAACTAACATACTCTGTTTTTAGGATCCAATATAATTTTTTAATGTCTACATTTATTTATCGTAACTAAAAAGCTCTTTCTCCCTACCCTGAGAGATGGCTTTAGAAACTTCTTCAAAACCTTTATTTTTAAACATTTATCTAAGATCTTCTTTCTGGGCTTTCGGTGTTATACCATTTCTCTGATTACTTCTTCTTATTTTCATAACACATGCCTTTGTTTATCAAGTTTCTGGCTATTTTTAAAATCTGGAAATGGGAGTAATGGAGATTTTTATGGCATATTTAAAACCTGTTGAGTTTCTTTATGAATATTGAGCTTAAAATATCACTGGGATATGATAGAGATAGCAATGATTCTATAGATGTCTTTGGAAAGTATTGATAGCATAACACTAGTAAGTTTTCTGAGCAATTAACAAAGGCTATGCTTCTAGGTGCTTATACCACTGCTTTTAAAGCAGAATTTTGTGTTTTTTCTACAAACACTTCAGTAATTTTTAATCATTATTTACTTTACAGGTATGTGTGGTACATACATGTTCCTGTGGATGCAAAAGTGCATGCAGAAACACAAGGGAATGTGTGTCTGTGCTTGTATGAATGTGAAAGCAAGATATTTATCAAGAAAATTGTAAGCTATGAGAGAAGCATATTTTGTGTATTTATGCATCATCTTCCTTCAGCAATATTATGCAATTTTTATTTTAGAAATCTTTCACATCTTTGATTATAAATAGTGTAAATGAAGACTATGATTTCATTTCCTGGCCACCCAGACCTGAATAAATCACCCAGAAATTATGTTGATTACAATACCGTTTGACAAATTCCTTAAGTATGTTCCCAGTTATCTCTTACTTCCTAAATTAACCCATTTCTATTAATCTATATATCACCATGAGGTTATGGCCTACTGCTAAGATTCCTGCATCTGTCTCCTTTGAAAGCTACATGGTGTCTATTCAATTCTGCCTACTCTATATATATCTTGATTTCCTGGCTGGCTCTATTCGGCTATGTCATAGGCCAATGGCTCAGATCATAAAGTGGAAAATCCCACATTCAGAATAGTACAGTAATTCCTCAATATTTTATTCATTGGGTTTCTTTTTGTATACAAAATCATTAAGATCCTAGCCAGGTGGTGGTGGCGCACGCCTTTAATCCCAGCACTCGAGAGGCAGAGGCAGGCAGATCTCTGTGAGTTCGAGACCAGCCTGGTCTACAAGAGCTAGTGCCAGGACTGGCTCCAAAGCTACAAAGAAACCCTGTCTCGAAAAACTAAAAATAAAAATCATTAAGATCCTTAATAAATTTTCACTGTTACTGGTAAAAGAAATTAATATGCCACTTATGCAGCTCAGTGGAAAAGAACTCAAAGGCACAATTGAAACCATGGGTTTGACCCCAGCCTGGAATCATAATAATTGATCTAGGAAGCATTTGCAAAGTTTAATTGTGAGAAGACTTCATTAAAGTTAAAAAATAAAACACTATAAAAAGAATGAAAGCATAAAATAAATATTATACTTTGCAAATCTATTCAAATAGATGGAACATGGTCTTTCTTCCTCTAATAGACATAAGTGAAAATTATCCCTTAACTGTGGTAAATAGGTTTTCTCTGCTATGGACGAATGTATATTGCTGTACAGTTTTTTATTGCATCTGTAGGTTTGCTTCCACGAGATCCATTTCTTACTGTAAAGGATCATTACATACACATTAGTGTTTATTCTTCATGTTTGCTTAAATTTGTTCATTATTTATATAAATAAAAATATAAGTTTTGTAACAACATTTTGTTAGGAAAATCAGGAAATATACATGAGTATATAAATATTTTATATACTTAGATAAAGCATACAATATAGAAATTTTGCTTAAATGGGAAGTCTATAATGGTTATGCACATATTTAAATAAAATAAAGTTCATAACCCTAGGCCTATATTCCTCCTTAGTGTATTTTCTCAGTAATCAGGTTTAACTACAAGGTTTAAACTTTAAGCAAGCACTGAGCACTCATATATTTTCTCAGCTTTTGTGTTATGTAGGGGTTTGCTAAATTACACATGGTGGCCTTGACCTCCTGAGTGTTTGCTCCATTAAACATGGATACACATACCTTTTGAGCATTATTCTCTCCATCAGTCTCTTATCCTATCTATGTAGAAATAACTTTCTGGATACTGTTAGGTGCAGAGTTAAGTGATGCCTCAGTTTTTCTTAATTATCCAAAGTGAGTACAAAAAGCAGTGTAACGTACACAATCCTGCATTAGAAGAATGTTTGCTTTGTTTTGAACTATCTTGGAACACCTCACTTCAACAAACACTGGCAGAGATATACAGTCATCCCTGCCTTTCTCTTAGGCATCTGGACCATGGATTGTTTTTTACTACAGTTCATGGTCCTACATTGCTATGTGAAATGTTATCACTCCCATTATCCAGTGAGAGATTTGTTTGTTGAAATGCACAGGAGTCCACTGTCCTCCCACACAGTGTGGGGAGCAGCCTCTATCTAAAATCAAAAGGTATTCCACAGTTATTGCAATTTTTATATTGAAGGCGAATAATTAAAAATAAATCCTTATTATAAACATTTCATCTACTCATGTTTATTTGCAGAAGAGGAAGTTTTTTACTAAAATCTGTTCATCAAGACTTTTGTGGAGATAATGTCTGTCCTTGATATATTCATTGTGCCAACACAATCCATTTTGGTGATATTTAGTTGATTTTGAAGGGAAATTCCAGATGGGAATTACATATTTAAGTCAACTTTTATGTAGTTATTTACTTGGCCCTTCTTGTTTTAGGTTAAAATTTTCTTTATTGTCAATTAACTTGAGCATTTTAAACTATCCAGAGAGATATTTCAGTGCTCCCAATATTTCCAGGAAGTTTCAAAAAAGATAAAAGAAGTCATAAAGAGACAATTCCATTGCCTGCCCTTTGCTGTCTGAAGCCTTCTTCCTGAATTGTGTCTCTGTAATCACTTGCAGTTTATTCCCTGACTTAACTGTACTCACTCTACTTGGAATTAATAAATGTAGCCTGTCTTCATTTCCCAAATAAAGCAATCTTTATTCCTGAAAACACTACTAATGCGCAGTCATTGTGGGCATTAAGGGTAATATGAGATTAATAAAGCTAGGAAAATTGCTTCATAGCTATACAAAAGGATGTAAAGATTCAGATAGCAATGTTATTTTCAGAACCTTATCAGTGAATATATGCAGAGAAAGCTTCTCATTTACTCACTGTCTACTTTGTTCCCCATTTAATAACATTTATTGGCACTGATTTGGTCCATAACTTATTTTCTTTAATTACTACACCTGTAAACCATTATCCTATTTTTTAATTTTGTAGATGAATCTTTACTGTAATAAAAAACAACAGTAAAAAGTATAATCCAAAATAAAGTAACAACTGCAACAATACTAGACACATGTACAATTAATACATACAAATAATAATAAAGTTTCAAAGCTGAAATATTATTTTATGTTCAAATTGCCTAAAAATAATAACACAAATATGCAAAAAAGTATTTGAATTGATAGTATGTTTGAACCTGGAACCATTAGGTAATTTTACACTTTTCATTCAGCAATTGATTTCCAATAAATCAAATCTGTCACATTGGCAATTCACAGGGATATGTTACTTTTCAGTGGAAGATATACAGAAAATAGCAGAAACAGAAGATTAATTTACATATTCAAAGACATAGGTTCAAAATGAGAAACCCACACAGTCGATAATGGCATCCCAATATTACTTCATTTGATAGTTTAAAGATATCTTTTAATTTATAAGAGGAAAAAGAATTTTGTGATGAGTGGGTGTAACAGATAAGTCTTTTTTAATGCCTCTATGTTTAAATAAGAAATAGAATAGAAAGGGTGGAAGTAAAAAAAATTGAAGATAGCAAATCTTGGTGAATTTAATCCAGATGATTCAAATTTCTTTTTATGATACAAAAAAGTCTAGTTTTCACAAATATTCCAAAAAAATTATGTTTTCTCAAAAACTGAAACAATGAATTTTCAATAAACAGAGTTAAATTATACAGTTGAAACATTGTGCATAAAAGGAAACTTTCTTTGTGCAAAAAACCCAAGAGTCATAAAGACAACTGTGTACAATCAAAAGTTACCGCGGCTCAGGCTTTTCATCAGGGCGACTTTAATATCTTTGTTCCTCAAGCTGTAGATTAATGGGTTCATCATGGGAACTACATTGGTGTAAAAGACAGAAGAGATTTTTCCTTCATTCTTAGACCCTGCTGAGGAGGGTTTGAAATATTCAAGTGCACCTGAAACAAAGAACAAAGAAACAGCAAGAACGTGGGAGCTGCAGGTGCTGAAGGCTTTGGACCTGCCCTCAGAAGAACGGATGTGGATGATGCTGGAAAGAATGAAACCATAGGAGATAAAGAGAGTTGAAGTAGGAATAATAATGTTGATGCTCCCAGCAACAAGAATTACGAACTCATTCGAATATGTGCTCGTGCAAGAGAGTTGGAGCAAAGGAGGAATATCACAGAAGTAGTGGTTGATGGTGTGGGCATCACAGAATCTTAGTTTCAGCATGCATACAGTGTGAGCAACAGCATTAGAAAATGCAATAAAATAGGAACCAAACATAAGTATCAAACATAATTTAGGAGACATGACAACATTATACAAGAGTGGATTACAGATGGCCATGTAGCGATCATAGGCCATTGAAGTCAACACATAGCATTCAGATACAGCAAAGAATATAAAGAAGTATACTTGAATCATACATTCCACATAAGAAATGGCATTCTCCCTTAATATGAAGTTCATCAGCATTTGGGGAGTGAACACAGAACAGTAGCAAATGTCTATAAAGGACAAGTTAAAGAGAAAAAAGTACATAGGAGTGTGGAGGTGAGAGTTCAGCACGGTCAGGATTATCAAACACAAATTTCCCAAGGCAGTGAACAAATACATTGCTAAGAACAGAAAGAACAAGGGCATTTGGAGTTCAGGCTGATCTGTTAATCCTATCAGAATAAATTCAGTCACCAGAGAGACATTTACTGAGTCCATTCTTCTCTAAGGGAATCTGTAGACAAAGAAAATAGACCTTCATTAGAGGAAGATCTGCACTCTTCGTGGATCCTTCCCACCTGTGACAGTTTGTTAGTAATGTTTCTTCTAGGCTGCACTAATCACATAGAATCAGGTGGTGAAGCCACAAACTATCTTAAGTCAGAAAGCAATTGAAAATTAATTTTATTATGATTTCTGAAAAATATCACAAGATTAAGAATACATGAAGGATTACACCTTTTCCCATCTCCAATCTTCCCAACTACAGCCCTCCCCACAAAATTTGCATTGCATTGAGAGGTCTGGACAGTACATTTTTGGTTGTTGCTATAGATTCTCTGTTGTGGTACAAATGAAAAAGATGTGCTCAAACTAAAACTAAAATAGAAAAAGAAAAGTTGGAAAAGAACATTTCCTGTCCCTTTGTAACAAAGTCAAGAATCTGGAAGGCCTGAATCCTGACCATGCAGGAAATCTCCACTGGAGATGTTGCAAGTCCATGGCCAATGCTTCTTAACACTCTCAGATCATCCAGAATGTTTTTGTCAGCCAGGTTCACTTAATATTCTTTTTACTCAGGAAAAGAAAGAAACTTGCTGAAGCCCATCATATATTGAGAAACGTAAAGGGTTTGGATTCAGATGGAGGGAAGGTGGGGAAGATCTGAGAGGAGTTGGGTCAGGAAACTAATCATAATATATTAGATGAAAAACAATCTCTTCAATAAAGTAAAATAATAATAAGGAAAATTCTTAAAAAAATAATACAAAGGAGAAAATGATGGCTATTAGTATTCCTAGAATTCAGTACTCACATTTTTCAGCCCAAACTTAGATCAGTCTTATTTTCCATTTTCTATCTATCTGGATAAAAAATTAAGATTCAGAGATTTCAGATCTTTCAATTCAAAGAAGTTATATAAAAGGCTTAACTTTCCTGCACCAGTTTGTGAATTGTAGAGGATGATTTGTGATTAAGTTTTTGAGTCTTCTGTAGTAGAAAAAGTGGCCCTTTAAGCTCAGGAAGTGTGGACTTATAAGCAGGTCAGAAGAATGTGCAGGTTCTTCTTCAAAGGAGAGTATTTAACTAGAAAAAAGGGGACTGAGAAAATTGTATTATGCCTGATTCATGACCCTTATTTCCCAAGAGACCCACAATTACACTCATGCACTCTAGAGAATGTGCAGTCTACAGTGTAGACATTGAGATAGATTCTTGCCTCTCCAATTAGCTTAATATCTAAAGGGACATCTGAACTTGGGGTTTGTCCTCTCTTGCTTCCTGCAATTAAGTGAGAATTACCCATAGGTCTTTCTTCTGAGTATAGCTGAAATTTGTAGAGTGTTGTAGAAAGTCACTTTCAGTGCTGTGGTATCAGCAACATCACAGACACTACTTAAAAACTTTATTTCTGAACAAGATTGATATCAGAAGACATGCTACCGTGGAAGGGGAAATTTTCAAGGGGACTCAACCAGAGTCAAAGTACTGAAGACAGGTAAAGAATGTTAGAAGTGCTACAAGTAGTCTTTTTTAGAAAAGAAACATGCTCCACTTGGCTCTCCAATATCAGAGGGTCAGCTGTGAAGCATTAAAAAGAAGTAACATTGTCTCGATCTCTATCCATCACCAGATGAAGATTCTATGATGATATGCAAGATATTCGTCAGTATTGCTCTAGGATAGGGTCATTTCAGGTTCCCAATCCTCAGCTGCCCAAGGAACTAACTGGGAACCTCATCTTGGGCACTAGGGAGCCCCTCTAGGGTCAAGTCGCTTGCCCACCCTAAAGTGGCTCCCTTAACTAAGAATTGTGGTTCCGTGCTCCCCTATCCACCTTTCCTTTATCCCAATTCTCCCGTTTCCCAGGTCCCACCTCCTTCCCTTCTACCTTTTCTCTCCCCATCTCCCCTTACCCCCATCCCCCGCCCCCCCAAGATCCCATTTTCTCCCCGGAAATTTGGTCTACTTCCCTTAGCGAAGAGGACAACTATATGTTTTTCCTTCGGTTCACCTTCTTCCTTAGCTTCTTTAGGTTCACCTATTGTAGACTCCTTGGTCCTTATTTATGGCTAGAAACCAATTATGAGTGAGTACATCCCATATTCATCTTTTTGGGTCTGGGACACCTCACTCAGGATAGTGTTTTCTATTTCCATCCATTTGCATGCAAAATTCGAGAAGTCATTGTTTTTTACCGCAGCGTAGTACTCTAGCGTGTATATATTCCGAGCACTGGACTGAGCTCCCAAGATCCCAAGGAGGAGCAGAAGGAGGGAGAACATGAGCAAAGAATTCGGGACCACTAGGCGTGCATCCACCCACTGAGACAGAGGAGCTGATCTACGGGGAGCTCACCAAGGCCAGCTGGAATGTGACCGAAAAAGCATGGGATAAAACCGGACTCTCTGAACATGGCGAACAATGAGGGCTGATGAGACACCAAGGACAATGGCAGGGGGTTTTGATCCTACTTAATGTGCTGGCTTTGTGGGAGCCTAGCCAGTTTGGATGTTCACCTTCCTAGATATGGACGGAGAGGACCTAGGACTTTCCACAGGGCAGGGAACCCGGACTGCTCTGTGGACTGGAGAGGGAGGGGGAGAGGAGTGGGAGGAGGGGGAGAAGGGTGGGAGGAGGGGGAGAAGGGTGGGAGGAGGGGGAGAAGGGTGGGAGGAGGGGAAGGGAAATGGGAGGCTGGGCGGAGGTGGAAACTTGTTTTTTGTTTATGTTTTTTTTCTTCTTTTCGCAATAAAAAAAAAAACCCTTTCTCAAAAAAAAAAAAAAGAAGTAACATTATATGGACTGAGAGATTGCATATATATATATATACATATACATGTATACATATATATGCAATATATACATATATATACATGTATATATATACATGTATGTGTGTGTGAATATAAATGATTATATAGTTAGCAACAATTAAGGAAATAGTAGCCCTGAAATTTAGAGAGAACATGGGTGTGCAGGAAAAGTTGGAGGCAAGAAAGAAAGAGGAAACACCCTTTTTCCTCTTTTTTAATATATTTTATAAACAGGCATGAATTTTATATGTTCATGGGCATTTATGTTTGGGAAATAATTGAGGCTAATAAACACTGAGTGCAGATATTAAAAATCAAATGTGGGCACATATGGTGGAAATATGATCAAAGTGTCAATGGTTTTATATAAAAATCATGTTATGCAATGTATTACTATGTATAACAAATATATAAAATGGCAGTATTAATGATAAATAATTTGAGCTCAAGATATATATATATATATATATCTTAAAAGCATGATATATAATGTTCAAATATAAAATTTCCAATTTTTTATCTAATATAAGACAACTAAATTTTAAAAAATAAACCTTTTAAAAAATTTGAAAAAATACAGATTTACAAAATGTGAGTATTTTATTAGTAAGACCACAGACAAATTTATACACTTGGAAACACATACCAATAGGAAGTGCTACAAATGTATTTAATTCACATCATGTAATACAACGTACATTAATCAGCAAACAAGCTTTTGTATGGCCCAAGCTGAAGAACATTTCATTTTTTCTCTAAAGAATCAATAAAAATGTGATACTTAAAGTCAGTCTTAATTCTGGGATGTAAATTATATGCAATAAAGAAACAAATTGTCGGGCGGTGGTGGCTTATGCCTTTAATCCCAGCACTTGGCAGGCAGAGGCAGGCGGATCTCTGTGAGTTCGAGGCCAGCCTGGTCTACAAGAGCTAGTTCTAGGACAGGAACCAAAAGCTATGGAGAAACCCTGTTTCGAAAAATCAAAAAAAAAAAAAAGAAAGAAACAAATTGACAGGTGACTTGTCTATTATGAATCATTCCACACTTCTTCAAGAAACTCTTACTTCGTCATTAATATTTTTTTGATATAGAGTTCTCCTTGGCTATTGGTTTGGCTTCAGTTCATCCAACTGAGATTGGATTAAAGTGGAATGGATTCAACATACATTGGATTTCATTCATTCTAAAAATGTTCTAAATGTGCCCCCATGGCATACACATATGGATGAAGCATTTCAAACAAAAAATTAACCATTTGTAATTTATTTAGATGTCCTCAGAAAACTCTTTAAAAGTACTATTTTCAAAATTTGTTCCTTCTGCTCCAACTATAACTGCCCCACAGTGAATGCTGCTGTTTTCAGATGGTGCACACTAACCACCAAATGTATACCCTCTTGCTCTCACTTACAAATCAGCATGAGACGCTTCTAGGATTGTGTATTTTATAGTTGTTCAGTACAGAAATAATAATTTCAACTTAAATCTTTCTGTCCCATTTGAAATTAATATCCTTTTAAAAACATTTGAATCTTAATAATTATTGAATGTCTCTTACCTGCTTATATGTCTGAAAGAAAACTATGTTGACTAAATCAAGATACCACAATATTAAACTTGAAATTGCAGAATCCAGATACAGAAATAGACAGAGACATAAATATGAAGATCTAATGGTATTAGTGTATTATTATTGGGTAGCTATCAACGCAAACATTGACTTTCTCCATGGTATCAGTGCACATATCTCTCTATTTGTTATGTTTTTTAAATTTTTCCTCATGATATGTTTGACATGGTAAAACACTAACAACAGCACTCTCCAAATGATGTGCTTATTGCGGAAGCTTTGTGCTCTTCCAAAAGTTTTGGGTTGTTTTGTTTCCCGTTTACTTTCTTTCTAAACTCTGTTATCTTTTAGAATTTCTTCACTGACTTCCTTGCTCATGTTCTCCCTCCTCTGCTCCTCATTTGGACCTTGGGAGCTCAATCCGGGGCTCCAATGTGGGTCTCTGTCTCTATCTCCATCCATCATCAGACGAAGGTTCTATGGTGATATACAAGATATTCATCAGTGTGACTATAGGATAAGGCCATTTCAGGCTCCCTCTCCTCAGCTGCCCAAAAAACTAGCTGAGGACATCTCCATGGACACCCGAGAACACCTCTAGAGTCAAGTC